GGTCGTATCGAGAAGGAACTGAAACGATTCATGATGACGCTGATTTTGGACCCGGCCAAGTTTCATGCCAATACGCGCGAGCTCACCGGTCGAATCATGAGTACACTTGCTTGGGATGATGCCGCCTTGGGAAAGAGATATGGCGAGCGTGCGATTGAGACTCTTACGCAAATGTCCGTCTCCGGACCGATAGTCAACACCGTCACGCCGATATGGCATATCGCCGAGTTTTTGGGGTATAATCCCTGGCGGAAGCATGAGGAAGCTCGTGAAGGGAGTATGCGAGCGTGGTGGGCTGATAGTCTGCGCGTTGCCAAAGCCAGGTTTTTGAAAGGTGATTTGCCTGGCGACACCTGGTCATATCGATACTGTGAGCAGCTTGTCTATGAAGGGAATAAAACACTTGAGCAGAGTCTTGATGATGAAAACTTCGCGGCTTGTATGTTGGGGTTTCAATGCATGGTAGGCGTGATTACGGTTGGCGGACCATTGCAGTACTTTCTGATGTGTATGGCTCTGCATCCGCAGTGGCTGAAGAGGGTCCAAGAGGAGATTGATCGAGTATGTGGCGAGCGTCTACCGACTATTGGGGATTATGCCGAGCTGCCTACCGTGCGAGCATGTGTCAAGGAAACGCTCAGATGGAGATCGACCGTGCCACTAGGTAAGTTCTGTGAACGCTCTGCAAGTAACAGCATCTTCTAATGTTATTATAGGAGTTCCTCACCTGTGCGAGACACCGGCCGAGTACATGGGCGTGCCTATCCAGAAAGGCGATGTCATTCTCGCATGCGAATGGTCACTAAACCGCGACGAGGCGAAGTTTCCAGATGCAGAAATGTATCACCCAGAGCGATGGCTAGAACCAAGTTGGCCGACATACATGGAACCAATATCACAGTATCCTAACCTTCGAGAAGGTAAAGCCATGCATACATTCGGCTGGGGCCGAAGATCGTGTCTCGGTCCATCTATGGCGGATTACGAAATGTTCATGTTTGCAGCATACGTTTGCTGGGGGTTTGACTTGTCGTTGAAGAAGTGTCCGATAACGGGAGAGGATATGACGTTTGACACGTATTCAACTAACTCGAGGGTTATTCTGGAGCCAAGTCCATGGCCGATGGAGGTGAAGCCGAGAAGTGATGATAGAAGCAGAGCGATGATGGAAAATTATATTGCCGTCCAGGGCCAGTTGAGGGTATGAGGTTGGCCACTATGTCACTACGTAGAAGCTGAGGTGATTTTTAACATGTGACTTATAAAAACAAGGGTGGCGAGCACTTGGCGTGTCAGTCCAAGTCATTTCTCATGCAGCTGTCAACAGTGAACATGCAAATAGTAGCCCCCGCACACAGCGCCGGTCGCACACTTCTTTTCTCTCCTATTCTATCCTATTCTCGTCTTGTTGGCATATTGACATTCATCTTTTTGTCGACATATCAAGCAAAGACTGCCCTATTCTGCTAATCATACCTACTTGTACTTCGTTAGCTACATACACTACCCATACATTCTTGTTCGAATACATCTAGACGACAGGCCCATGCCGTTTCACGATTCCTACCTCGCTTATAAGCGAGACACAAGTAGACTTGTTTATCTGCTTGTGACCGCTTCGAATGCTGTCTTATCTGCCAGAGATGTCAAGGCAACACTCAACACAACAGGCAAGTTGTTTGCTTCAGAATTCGTGCCTGCTGCGAAACTCATCGCCAAACACATGAAAGAAACACCTTGTGAGATCCTGAATTTACTCAAGTCGGTCATCAAACTTCGATCGTCTCGCTATGAGGAATTTCAGCGACGCGTCTCTGCCAATCCGAATTTCGAGATGGGGAAAAGCAACGGATCCCACAAGCACTTCATTGATATACTCAGCCAGACCTTTGACATACTAGGTGGCGAGAAGAGGCTCAAGGATGAGAAGGCTCGTAGAAAGACGAAACAAGAAGCTGAAACCACCAAAGTTGACTTCCAGACCATGTGCTCCAACGTGTTCTCACATCTAAATCTTCATGGAATTGAAGACAGTGATGAGGGAAGCGACGGAGGCTCGAGCTGTACAACGGAACAAAGAAATCTACCCAAACGTTTTCCGGGGAAGGCCTGCTCCAAAGGCTCGAAACGCAAAGGTGGCAAGGGCAAGAGCGCCCGCAAAAAGGCAAACGTTAGCAGTCAGCAGAAGCATCTCATCAACAAGATCCCCGTCGAAAAATATGGGATTGCGGGCGATGACAGCCAACTTGAAGCCGAGTATTTTCTCGCAGCTGCTGCTATGCTGGAACAGTGTATAGAGCTGAGACTTAGATGTCAAAGCTTCTGGGAACGAGTGGCTTATGACAGCTTCCACCCGGTCGTAGCCGTAGCTATCTGTGAACAGGCAATTTCTATGGTCATTGAGGCACAAACGGCCGTTTTTTCAGACTTTCCGAATGATGACTCGTACATCAAGTTGCTCAAAAAGTACACAAGCGGCGATACGAGCAATATGCAGCAGCCTACAATTCTCAGGATTTCTCGCCGTTGCGACGATGAAGTCTGCAGCCCATTCCTGGAGGAAACCGCCGTGACAACAGGGTCGATGAAGGAGCTGTTGATGGAATATACGTACAATGATCTCCTCGAATTCATCAGAGATTACCAGAAGACATCAACGGGAAAACCTACCAAGTCGATGCAAGCCGAAATACGACGTTGGAATCCCAAGTTGGATCTTGGAAAGGCTACCGGCGAACAGCGACGTCGATGGCGAAGAATTTACACCATCGACTGGTTGTATTGCCTCGTTGGTTCTTTTTCTGAGACCAGAAAGCGAATAGAGATGGATTCTGACGTTAAGGTGTTGTGCAAGGTTTTCGCTGACAATTCTCGGCCTTGCCACAACCCGGCTTTGAAACGATGGGATGAGGAGTCTCAATTCTTTGGCTTGCGTCAATTCACCGACGCCATTACTGTGCTTATCCGGCAGGCAGATGAGGCTAAAATGCAAGATAGCATTTCACCCTACCTTGTCTTCAATCTTCAATGTATTGTGGACTCGTGCACTGTTTCGCTTGGATGGAAAATAGATGTTGCCGGTGATATTATACTTGGTCGACCAGCCGATAAGGGCGGTTCAGTCGACTGGATGCGCAGATTTACATGCGCCAACACTTGTGAGCATCACCTGGGGGTCTCCAGATCAATTGAATTACTTCTCAAAGTCTTTAAATCCCACGAATCTCCGTCGTTCTATATCGGTCATATAACATTGTCTACATTTTGGAAAAGTTTTCTAACCCATCACCAAATCATGGTTGACTTGGTCAAAGAGGAAATTCCTTGTATTAAAAAATCGGGCCAGGATTGGCAAGTCAACGAACACCGTTTTTGGAACTTGTCACCTTTTGTTTGCGCTTCTTCATTGATGCAAGCCATCGAACTCTTTTTCAGATACGCCATGTTCATTTGGGATGTAACTCCAGAAATTGGATATCTTTTTCATTTGCACAATATGCTGGTTCAGGAGGGCTATCTCGATCGACCTGTTGAACTGTTGGATGAAGTGGGAAAGTTGTTTATGGCCGACTTTTTTGGCGACAAACTGCCAGAATCCAATTTCAGCCGCGCGTATCGCAAATACAAGAACTTTAGTCGACCTCCGAGGACCGAGGGCTTTGCACATCTGCTAATAAACTCGCCGTTCTACAAGCAGTTTTTTATGACCGAATATTTCCACCAAACTAAATCAAGCTTGCTTGTTTTCCATGAAGCTGGGTGGAATGCCCGGGCCATTTCAGCTACCAGACTGCCCAACACGAGTATCAAGTGGATATTGATGAAAATTGCTGAGAAGATGCGTGATCAAGAAGCTTTCGACACTCGCAAGCACTTCACCAAGATGTCAAAGAACGGAAATAACCTACGTATCCTTCAATTTGACACAGACACAGAGCGCATTTCCGAAAGCTTCCTCTTGGATTTGACCGAGTGGGCAATCGAAAATGACATTTTTAGCAGCGCAGCTTTATCCAACATGAACTTCCTTGGCATAACTGCAAAGCTTCTTTCTATTTGGATTGCTATCGCGGAAAAGACCAGGACGTCGCGGTACGAGCCGCACACGGAATGTTGCCCTTCCACATTAACAGCCGATGATATCATCTACTCAATTCTTTGCGCCGCCCTTGATGGTGACGATGATGACCTCCTTAGGATGATGGCAGCGATCTTTGACGAAAACCGAGGTGAACGGACAATATCATTCGCGTATTTTCCCATGTCGGACCCCTCCAGATGAGAAGTTCTGGAAATCATCTGAATGCTAGTGTTGTCATAGGACACGAAACGGATGTATGTAAATGCAGGGAAAATGGTTTGGAATGTTAGATTTTTGGTCAAGTACATGTATGGACTTTAGCCCGCGCTTATCACTTATCGCATTAGCTCAGGTACGCGGCTGCTGTTAGTAAGATCTGCGAAGACGTATTAGCTGTATAACATTTGTCAATTACGCAACCTAAATTGTCTGCTTTACTGTCTTGATGAGTGCTTCAGATGCCGTATTAAAATAAGCTGATGGTGTTTATCGTAGAGCTGTGTATGTCCAGGCGAGCGAGGCACGGCATGCTTCTTGTCTCCCCGCAGTAAGTAGCAGGGACTACATAACGGCGTTGCTGCAGCCTCCAGAGTTGTCTCGAAGCCGGTAGACTTCCTATACGCAGTCTTCAGATCGAGCCAAAATAAAAAGTAAAACAGCCACATGCTCGTTCACTGGAAAGAATTGCGGGCAGAGAGTAAAAGTACATGGGCCACCACGCACTCAGCAAATTATTTTCAGTCTTCGTTGGGCCAAACAATGAGTCATGCAAGATCAAACTTGAAATGCAACATTTGAACAAGTCGAAACAAGGGTGAGCAAAAAAAGAAAGAAGGCAGGCGATGGGAAAGTAATACTCGATGCGCCCTCAAAGAACATCATTCACAATTCCACGAGGAAACATCCAAAAAAAATACATCTCCGATGCGGGGAATCGAACCCCGGTCCCTGCGGCACTTTCAAGATGAAAGCGCAGTATGATAGCCATTACACCACACCGGATGCGAATACTCGAAATGGATTGATGGATGGGGATCTGTTAATTTGTTATACATAGGTTACAAAATTGGGAAACTGACTCATGTGAGAGGCATCCCCGAAGGATAGGACAGACCGCACAACATTCAAGTTTCCGCGAGTGCTGTCATTGCGTGTTGCTGTCCCTGTTTCTTCACTGTTAGGGATGAGGGAGTTTCTGCCCTTTATCCAATGTACTGAAGTCTGCATCGGTTCTGATCTCTGCAGGAAGGCGGCCGCATATAGCCACATGTCCGTATCTTCTTGGTGTGAATTCCAACCCTACAACAACGCACCTCCCGATCTCCATATGAGATGAAAATAATTCATTCAAACGGGACACTAAGACGTGGACTATGTTTAAATTATCTCTCAAGTGGTACTAGCTCTTCTTAGTATTCTTTTCCGCATGGATCGATGACAACTACTAGGCCACCAGCACCGGATCCGCGAACCATGCAGCTCCAAGTAAAAATTGGCATTGGAGATCAATACCGGATCGAATCTCATGTCACGGCCTAACGCCCTGCACTAAAGGAAACCATATCCGTAACCCTAAAAAAGGGCCATGGTCCGCCATACAATGCTGCCTCCAGTATCTGTGCCATACAAAACGAACCAACTAGCTCTCCTGCGGAGAAATTATAACCGCATGCGTGGTGCTGCTTGCTGCCTTGTCGCCGCGTTGCAGCGCCACGCAAGATGAACTCCACTACTGAGTAATCTAGCGGACTTTTGGGTTGCTGTTGCCACCACGCTGGGGCTTCTGTTGCCGCTGTAGCGTAATGGCTCCGGCCGCTGTGGCCGCTGAGGCTCTAGGCGGTGGGGCTGTTCTGTCCCAATGTCTTATCTTCAAATCCATCACCTTTTCTTCCTCGTGCAACCACGATGGATCACGAAGAACCCCCTTGAAAGCGAGCAACAAAGTCCTCTTCTACCTGACCGCCGTCCAGGGGCGCTCGGGCTCTCGAGGAATAGATAGATCTCATTCAGCCACCTGTTTGTGCCCTTTTATGGCCGCACGAGCTTCGCCTATAGACTAAAACCTGCTATTTCTTTACCCTTGAAAGAAGAGATGAGCCCCCCGAGGAACTAAAATCTATTATGATGATTCGAAGCTTCAACCGCAAACTCTCTTATGGATTATAGACAGCCTTGGGGTTTCCGCCTCCACGCTTACGAAGCTTCTGGCCTGTCGCGAAGCCTACTGTCCCCAGCTGTGCTACTCTCACAAAGCTTTTTTGCTATCGATTGAAGCCAATGATACATCCGTCATATCTCGTTATATTTTCCCGTCATGTCCGACTGAGTTGACCGGGCATGGTACGGCCGATCCGTTGTTGATTGCACACTGCATATGAACCAACCGACTGTGATGCCTGTTCCCGAAAGCCAGGACCAGCAGTCATTCCATCCATCCGCGAACAATAGGTTTCTTTACAGTGCCATCAGTACCCTAGCAGTAATTTCGAGCCACTGCTCTATACGATTTTACTGTTTCTTGGTTCGGAATTACTGGTGGCCCACTGTACGCGTTGAATGTTCATGCAGTCCGAAATCGACACGTTGATTCCGTGCATGGCATGTTCTCTCCCCATGGTCCAAACCTACAGTAGACAGCATGCAGCGGTGAGAATTGATAATATCCAGTCGAGGGCAGCAACAAGAGCGATTTAACCATATAGTCTAGTTTACCTGCATCTACTAAATCTTGAAGTCAAAATCGCGACGTGGCGTGGCTTGTTCCTGCAGCCGGCGTCGGAGAATGCCCACTGTAAATCATCCAAGACCAACGGCCCATCTGCCACCCGCCCGGCCAAAGATCCCCCGCCAACAACCACGTCGACAGCTTCAACCAACGACACACCGTCTCGCAGCAACACTCGCTCCAGAGCCAAAGCCCGCCATCATGGCCCAATCCACCGCCCATCGCCGCCTCCTGCAAGAATACCGCGCCTTGACCAACAACCCGCCCGAAGGCATCACCGCCGGACCCATCTCTGAAGACGACCTCCTCCACTGGGAATGCCTCATCCAGGGCCCCGAAGGGACACCATTTGAGGGCGGCGTCTTCCCCGCCGAGCTGAAGTTCCCCAAGGACTACCCCCTCGCGCCGCCTACGATGAAGTTTGTGGCTGATATGTGGCATCCTAACGGTATGCCGACTCCTCATACATCTCTCATGTCAATGCATCCGTCCCTCCTTGCTAACGAATAGCCACAGTATATCCCAGCGGTCTCGTATGCATTTCAATCCTCCACCCGCCCGGCGATGACCCCAACCACTATGAGCATGCCTCCGAGCGTTGGTCGCCGATACAGTCCGTTGAAAAGATTCTCATCTCAGTGATGAGCATGCTAGCTGAGCCGAATGATGAGAGCCCGGCGAATGTAGAGGCTGCCAAGATGTGGAGAGAGCGGCGGGCAGAGTACGAGAAGAAGGTTCGGGATGGGGTAAGGCGTATGTTGGGCTTGTAGGCGGGGCGGGTTTGGACCTGAAGTCTAATACATTGCGTTTATTGGATGGCCGCGACGTATATATATGCATTGGCACGGTGTTTTACAGGAGTAACAGTCTCGTCATTGAAGAACCTTGGAAATCTTATCTATGCGAAACCTCCTTCATGTTTTCTTTTTCATGCGCCGTGGTAACGACCTTACAGCCCGTTTTCCGCCTTGAACTTGTCCCAACTTTCGTTGAGAGTGGCAAATACGAGTCCAGCAATAAGCCGCACCTCTGTGCTTGCATCCTGGGGAAGCTACAAACATGTTAGTAAAGGCCCACGAAATCGCCGGTGGAAAGACCTTACCTTGTCCGGATGTGTCTTCGCGATGGCCTTCATGTACGAAATCTTGACTTTATTGGTCATGACCAGTTCGTGCATGCCAACCTTCTTCCATCCGCTGTTCTCCCAGAGCACCTGGTCCATGCTGGCGATCAACCCCCGCAAGTTATCTCTCTTCCCGTCTCTCCATGCTGATACCTTGGCATCGACCTTTTCTGAAAGCGCAAACTTCTCATCGTCCTCCCTAGCCGCTGCTTGGTTTGCTTCACGTAATCTAGTCACGGCCTCGGAGCTCTTTTGCGGAGCCAAACCCGCTGTTGCTGAAGGCTTGGGTCGCAGTTTTTGTGCTACTGGCTTAGGAGTAATCTTAGGTTTCGGCGCCGATGCGTTCAAACATCGCTGACGGCCCTTAACAGCTGTCTGTCCACCTACACCAGCTTCCACGCACTGTTGCCAAACAACTCCCGCATCCGCCCATTTCTCCATTTGCTCCAACGCCTCGGCCTTCCGGCTGAGTGCTTTACCGTAGAGCTCTTTCATATCTCTAGCCTCTTCTTTGCCAGCCTCTCCTGCCACACTAACACTTTCTCCCTGGCCATTTCCGGCTCCAATGAGCTTCAGAGCCTCGTCAGAATCGGTAACAGCTTGCTTAGGTTCCCCAGTTTTCAGAGCAGTGAGAGCGCGATTCGTGAGGAGGACAATCATTAACGGGTGTGTGGTAGGAATTGCAGACAGCGACCTGGAATAAGACGAATGTGCGTTGGCGTAGTCTCCACGCTTGAAATGCGCCGTGCCCTCGAGTCGGTGTTTAGTTGACGTTTGCAAGGCTGCAGAGCTGATAGGAGGAACCTGTCGAGGGGGCTTTGGAGTTGTCTTTCGAGATGTGGGTGGAGGAGTCGCGCGCGATTGCTGTATGATTGAAGGCGATTGACGTGGTGTTTGCAGTTGTGAAATGGGTTTTGATGGCCTTGGTGCTTCTGTGTTGAAAAGCAGATCTGGTTCAGGTTCTTGTGGTTTGGGCGATTCGGTCGGGGTCGGCGTGGTCTTCTTTCTCCGGTTGGCACTGACATAGCCAGAAAAGCTGTCATCATCATCGGCTTTCATCCTGTCCAATCTAGACCGAGCATCAGATCCTACTACTGCGGCTTGTTGTTGCCATCGGGGTACGGGGCTGTTGCGGCTCTGACTGCCCGATGAGGGTGCCACTGGCGAAGATGTGCGAGATTGTTGCAATCCTAGTCTGGGGTCTCTCGCAGACCGGTTGCTTGTATGGGTTTGGTTTGGTCGACCTCCAGACTCAAGAGCCAAGGCTTCATCAGTAGCTTCAGAGCGAGCATGGCTTGTGTCGCGGCTCCGCCCTTGTTGTGTTTCACGCATCCATTTTGGTTGGTTTTGATCACCCCCATCTTGCTGAAAATCCGCGACTGCCTGCTGCATCTTTTTCTGTCCAGTTTTCCACAGTGAGTTCGCCGTTTTGAACAGGCTGCTACCTACAGCTGCGGCAGATTTGGCCAGATCCGGCTCTCCTCCTCGTCCAGAAGATCCAGCGGCACTGCGCTCGGATTGATCGTTCACACGGTCAGGCTTTGCAGACGAGCCCCTCCCCTGTGCCTTTTCCTTGGATTTCCGGTGAGCGTCATCCAACAGCCAGTTTGCTGCCGCTTGAACATTCAGCCCGGCGCCGCTTTGGCTGAGACCTCTTCGAGCATCTTCCGGTGAGAATCCATAGTCAACTAGCTGCGCAACGGCTCGATCGAGATCCTTGTCCGCGCTACCATTACCTCCGGATTCGTGCCGTGGTTGTCTTGGCGGCATGCTATCGTCTTCGGAGGAACTGGACTCATCTTCTTCAATCGGTTTTCCGGGCTCTAGCCTTTGCTGCTGCTGTTGTCTCATCCGAATCTCATCTATGGGCTTTCCAAGATCACCAAGGAAATCGTCATCGTCTGCCGGCGCAGCCGCCTTAGGTACAGATGATTGGCCACCCAGTTTCAATTCACTCAACCCAAACGGATCATCATCGTCGTCAAAGCCACCGCTGTTTGTGTTGTTGTTGGTATTAGTAGTTGTAGGAGCCCACGCGTTTGGATTGCTTAAATCAAGGTTTTTCTTCTCTTCAGCGGGTGTCGAGAGTATTCGTTCTGGTGGCGGGTAGTGGCTTGCATTGTCCACCTTGGTATCTTTGTTGAAAGCAGCGAA